ATTCAAAAATATCTTTATAAGGTTATTACTCACAGTGGTTTGTGGTGACACTAAGCCTTGGATGTCCATCTAAACGAAACACATAACAAAGTACAAATGAAACTCCATTTCATTTTAATTCAATTCTCTTTATGTGTTTCTAACTTATTGTATGATTGAATGAGTCCAAATGGTGCCTAAGAATGCTCGGAGTGACATGAGGATGCAAATATGCACTTAAAAGAGTTGGTAAAATTTTGCTGAAAACAGGGTCTCCGCTCGAGCGGGGGTTCAAAAACAAAGGTGGTCGCTTGAGCGTAACTTTTGTCGTTCGAGCGGTCTGTAAAAGTACTGATTACATGACATTCTCGCTCGATGGTCGCTTGAGCGAAAGACTGAGAAAAAGAGTCCTCACTCGAGTGCCACTTCGGTTGCTGGAGCGACCTGTAAAATTTCAAAAAACTTATGGGAGCTCGATTTTCACGCTCGAGCGGGGCTTCCCTTGTTTCAGTGGACAGCACGAATTTTGGAATTTCCAGAACCGTGTTTGAAGTTCAAACATGGTATTCAAAGCCTCAAATCTTGGGCTTTTGATACAAAAACATGGAGAATCATTATATAACATGAAAATACTTCCAATTTGAACCCATTTATTCAAAACAATGGTAATTTCTCAACCAAAGACTTCAACCTCATATCATAAAATAAGTTTAACTCAAATTGAATGTACATTTCTTCAAAACATGTTCAAAATATAATCAAGTGACATGAAAAGCATGAAAACATGAAGGATTCTCCAAATTAAGGTGTAAATGTGCCATGCATGTAGGAATTTCATGAATTCTAACTCAAATTATACATGCATGTATGTAATTATGCTCAATTCTTTCATACCCAAGATGATCCTAGCATATACCTTCTAAATTCATGCAAATGAACTCAAAACCATGATGAGTACAACTTCTGCATGACTTGATTTCAAGAATTTGGGTTGAATTCATACCTAATGTGTGACTGCAAGTGTTGTACAACTTAATTCTTCAGTTATTCTTCACAATTCTTCTCTCTCTCTCTTTAAGTGTTGAGTTTTTAGCTTCCTTTCTTCAAAATCTCAGCTCAAAGATGCATTTGAGTCTAAAAATTGAGCTTATGTAGCTCATATACATGTATATAATTAGCTTAAGTTAATTATTAGTTAGGATCTATTAATCTCACTTCATTCTAATAAACTCTAATCAATCATTCAAATTATTTGGATCCGAATCAAATTTCAATTAAAGTCGCCATGAAATTCTAAATATCCTAATTAGTTCATTAGGACAGTCAATTTCAGTTCCTGAAGTTGTTTAGGCTCTCAATTTCTGTCTCAAGTTATCAATTTGAACAGATATTCCACGTGACAACAGATAATTACAAAATTAAACATGTAAGTACACAATTAAATACACAATCATGCAATTAAACTTATTAAAATAGTATAATATGCTAGTCCGGAGGTCGGGGTCGTCACAGAACAATGCTTGAACAAATGGCATTCTTCTCATATTCGCCATTTTTTTTTATTATGAAGAATGCTCTGCTTCTACTTTCTTCTGCTTTTTGTTTAATCACTTTATTATTAAAAAATTCAAATTTAAAAGCAATTAAAAAGATTATTTTAAGAGAATAGGAAAATAATAGGGAGTTTGATGGGGAAAGTAAATGAAAATGTGATTCTTAAAATAGGAAATAATTTTTTTAAAAATATTTTAAGATAAAATTTAAGTAAACTGCTGGGATGTTCTTATAGGATAAGAATTTTTTTGCCACAATTTTCCTACAATTATCGTACTTGTATTATTTTTTTAATTACTAATTACTACAAGACACGTAATAAAACATATTATAATCTTAACTAATTTATTTTTATTTATTTTTTACATGCTCAAATAGGAATTCCTTCATGGCTTGTTTTGACAAGTGGATAAAAAATTATTTTTGGATTTTAAACTTATTTTGGGTCATATTATTATTTTTATCTTTTACATGTTTCTTTAAAAAAAAAAGTTAAAAAATCAGTTTTTAACTTACTTCTCAAAAAAACCCTATATTTTTGTTGATCAATCTACGCCCTTGTTTGGTTTGTCTGTTGAGAGACAATTTTTGAAAAAAATATTTTAAAAATTTATTTGGTTGATTTTTTTTTAAAATTTAAAGTCATTTTTTTTGGTATTACACATTTATCAATCATTCTCTCTCTCCTCTCTTTATCTCACATCAAATATATCAATCAATCACTTTTTCTCTCATACTAATCTCTTCCAGTACAAAAAAAATATCGAATTATCTCAAACTCCAACACTTCAAATTATTTTCAAAACACAAATAAATAAATTTCAAATTTTAAAAACTTTTTAAAAAAAATTATTTCTCAAATACAAACCGAACACATCTCGCGTTATTCCCATGATGATGTGAGTTGAGTCCGCGCAGTGGTTGCGTCCAAAGCGCAAAAATGACATAAGTAGTTGTTACATGTCAAAATACAAAAAAACAATGATAGAAGCCCTAATTTTTGTGACTCAAATGGTTCGAATTTGCCAAAACAACGTCGTTTTGAGTACAAAACGACGTCAAAATTGCCAAAACGACGTCGTTTTGGCAAATTTGAGCCATTTGAGCCACATAAATTAGGGCCTTCAAACGTTTTCCTACAAAAAAATGAGCTTAGTTGTTATTTGTTAAAAAAATGTTATCTACAATGATTTTTAAAAATAATGTTGATTTAGAATTGATATGATATACGTTACACTCAAAATCTAAAATAATCATTGAGTTACTTTTTAAATTATTTTTTTAAGTATATAATATTATTTTGTTTGTTTGATTTTGATTTTCAAAAAATACTTTTTAAAAAATTTTACTTTTTTATTTTTTGTTTTTAATGAATTTTTTAAATATTTTTAGTAATTTTTTTTAATCTTAAAACACACTTAACGTAAATATATTTAAAAAGTATAATATTTGTAAAAAAAAATAAATACAAAAAATACAAAAAAGAAATAAAAATTTAGTACGTTTTTCATGTTTTTGTATATTTATTAATTTTTAAAAATATTTTTCACAAATATTTTTCTATTTAAATATATATGTAAATAAGGTACAAAATGCTATAAACCTCAAATGATTTACCAAATTTTCTACCAAACCTCTCACATGAGTGTGGGACCCACATAATCCCACATGTGTGTGGGTCCTACACCTATGTGTTTGGTAGAGTTTTAGAATTATGATTTAAGAATAGAGTTATATTTTGAGTTTGTGAGTTTTGAAATTATAATTTGAGTGAGGAAAATTTATTTAGTTGTGAGTTTTGAAAAGAGTTTTAAATTGAGTTTAAATTGAATGATGTGACATATGATATTTTATACAAAAACTACAATTCATAACCAAACACACAACCCAAAATTCTATACAAAACTCATAAAAAAATTTAAAAATTTTCATAAATATTTTCTTTTGTAATATAAAAATAACAACTGGAAAAAAAAATAAATAATATTGTTCCAATCAACCGGCCGGATGACCGGTTAAGCCAATTTTTTAAAAAAAAAAATTTGAAAATTGCGCCTCAGACAAAATTTTCTACAAAATTGTAAAAAATTAGTTTCAAATACCTATCCAAACATCATATTAAAATGTGGGGGTAGAATTACAGTTTGAAAATCGTTCCAAACACAGCCTCAATTTTCAAAAAATTAAATTCAAAAAACTAAAATCAAATATACTGAGGGTTGTTTTTGGGCCCTTTTTATTTGAGCTTTATTCCAAATTGCCGATTGATTTATGGGTTTGGGCCACATGGACTGGGTTGACCACCCAAACGAGTCAGTAACACCCTTTCCAAAATCACCCCTTTTACCCCCCCCCCCCTTTTTTTTTTTTTTTTTTTTTTTTTTTTTTTTTTTTTTTTTTTTTGGATGGAAACTTCACTTTTGTTATTCAATAAAAGTTCATACTTCCATTTGAAATTTTTTAGGCAAGCTTTTACAGCTCATCTTTTGCTTGCTTCTTCTCTTTATGTTTCATCATAATTAGAGAGTTATTACTCAATGTAATTGGATCATCGGAATCTAGCATATGTAGCAGAAGCCGAATGGCATTACTAATAGATTAGTTAAGTATTGCTTATGCCTAAGGTTTTTATTTTTTATTTTTGGGGCAAACTTATGCCTAAGTTGTGTAGCCAACAAACTTAGATACAAAATAAATAAATAAAACTAACGTATGATACCAACTATGACAAGAATTTCATGATATTTATGACACGAATCTATAAAAGAATAAGATTAATTTAGATAAAAATTATGACAGTACACTTCTCCTTCATAAATTATAAGTTAAATAATTTTTTTGAAAAGAACAAGAATAAGTTACCTTTTTTTTTAGCATATTATATCAATTATACTTTATGTCAATCTAATCCATATAGTTCCAATATAATATTTGATATTTGATTTACATTTTGTATCAAATTAGACTCTATGGCTCCAAAAATAAGACTTTTGACATTTATGTGCCAAATTAATTCAATTGTTAATCAATGTTAGGATTTTTAACAAAAATCAATCACAGCAAATGTGACAATCTTTCAAAAGCGAAATAACATGGGTGCATTTTGCAAACACCCTTCATCTTCATAAACTTATAAATGTACCTACTTAGCCTCCGTTTGGGAAGTGGATTGACTTTTTAACTTTTTAGCTATTTTAACCTGGTTTAGGAAAGATTTTTTTAACTTTTTTGACTTTTTTTGTGAGAGAAGATTGTAATAATTATAAGTTGAATTTAATATTTTATTTTTTGGGACTAAAATAGCCTATTTTATTTTTTATGACTATTTTAGCCAAAAATACCTGACTTTTTTCTTCTCAAACGGAGCCTTAATTTTTTTGTTAAACTCATCCCATGCAGTACAAATCTTATAGAGCATGGAGAATCTAACGAAAAAAATAAAAAACAAAATGATAATAAAATGGGTGTAGAAGAAAATTTAGTACATATATTTAAAATCCCTCTTTTTTAGTACATATATCATCACATTACCACGCCCAACCCTCCACCAAGATTAATCCAGAGATGTAATTAATATAATAAGTAGTAGTAATAGCAGAGTACATATAAAATATTTTCTAAAACCTAATGGTACTGGGACCCCAACAGTCGAGATCCATGACTTTCTTGAGCTTCTCCTCCGTTCGTTTCACTCTCTCCGCTTTGATCTTGGTAGCGATCGCCGAAGAGGAGGAAGAGGAGAGCCTCTGAGCTTGGTAATACGATCCGAGATTGGTCTTGGCGTGTCGCTGTAGAGATCTGAAAACATAGTTCCATCTACAGACCCCTTGATCTTTCAGCGCCTCTACTGCTCCAATGCTCGCCGCTACGATCCAAGCTTTTCTTGCTCCGCTCATTTTTTTTTTTCTTTTTTCAATGAATTGAATAGGAATAGGAATGAATTGGCTTATTAGAATTTGAAATTAGAAAAGGGGAAGATTGATGGTGTTTCAGAGTTGTTTGTATGATAAATATTTGTTTAGGGTGTGTGTGTATATATATATGTGAAGATCAAAGAGAGTAAGAGAGTGAGATTAGAAAACTAGAGGCTGTTTAATGTAGAGGTTGGCGGGGGCAACGGTAAACACCCCTTGTATTTTAATATCAAAACCATCTAAGTTTGGCTGGGGGGGGTCGTTTTCTGTGTGTTGACACCCACAGTTTTTGGATTTACTTGAAACCACTATCCTTTTTAAACTCGTTTTCTTCTTTATATGGTCTTTTTTTTTCCAGAAAAATTATGACACACACTTTCCAAAAGGGTGTGTATCATATATAACGCTGATTGAGGGCCCGAGGGTCGTTTTCTGTGTGTTGACACCCACAGTTTTTGGATTTACTTGAAACCACTATCCTTTTTAAACTCGTTTTCTTCTTTGTATGGTTTTTTTTTTTTTTCCAGAAAAATTATGACACACACTTTCCAAAGCGTGTGTATCACATATATATATATATACACACACACTTAGGGATGACTCGTGCCTACGGCACTTCAAGGTTAAAAAAAAAAAATCACATTTAAGTTAATATAGTTTTATCCAATGAAAAATAAAAGTTAAGACAAACTAATGTATCGCTTTCACATTGATAAAAATTCACCATATTATAGTTATGATCTATTCAATCTATTAATAATTCTTCATATTCAAAGTTAAACTCCGTGCCATAGTATATACAAAACTTTTAGTATATACATATAGACAATTACAATCATTTTTAATTCTTTTGTCCTTTTACTTTGTAATTACAAAATGAAATTAGGAGATATTTACTTAATACATATAGTTCATGAATTAATTTGAAACCAAAAAATAAATAATCATGCATTCTATGGCCTCGTTTGGGAAGTGACTATTTTAGTAGGCTATTTGGCTTTTTTGCTATTTTAGTAGGTTATTTTAATTTTTGTGTTTGGGAAGATGAGATGGATTTTATTTGAGTTGTTGTATTAAAAAATGTGTTGAAATGATGTTTGAAATCAAAATGACAAATTTGTCCCTAAAAAAATATTTTTTTAAATTGCTATCAAGGGGTAAAATCGTAAAATGTTCATTGATGGAACAAGTGACAAAGCTGACAGTGTAGGCTGTGCCTACATTGCCGGCTGTGCAGTCCTATATATATATATATATATATTTTTTTTTTTTTGAAAAAGCTTGCAAAAGTGGTTTTTTGGCTAAAAAATTTTTTTAGGCTATAATAGCCTCTTTAGGCACTTCCCAAACAGCGCCTATATGTACAGCCTCAAGTGTAGTCTCACTTTAAACTTGGTTCAACATTTCTATATGCATTTTAAATCTGATTATTTCTTATTACCAGTAGCACACCACCATAAATGCATAATGCTTGAAAAAGATCAAAAGATCCATTTGCAAGTCCAGTTGATCTTTCAAAGGGAATTACAGTCTCACAAACAAATGTCTTTCAAATGGAACCATTTGATCTTTTCACATTAAATAAATCATTCTATCCATTACACTATATGCATACATATGTGTACGCATTTATAGTATTTAAAGAAGGAATGACAGTAAAAAGAAAATGTTTTTTACGTTAGATACGTGTTGTCTCCCAGTTGTGCAATCCATGTCACCCACTTGTATATTCCATCACCTAACAGCCTGTAATCCAAGTGATGAAAATGAACAATAGAAGGGGAAAAAAAAATCAGGGAAAATTTAAAAAAGGAGTGGAGAGTGGTATTTTAAGAAGAGCCATTTGAGGAAGTAGTGCTTACATACTGGCAAAGAGGAAAGACTAATGTTGTGTTTGGTTGAGGGATTTGAGGAGGGATTTGAAAAGGAAAATGGAAAAGGTAGGTGAAATGTGAATAAAACATACTTATATTTCACTTAGTTTCATACACATTTTCCTTTTCCTTTTCCAAATCCCTCTTTAAATCCCCCAACCAAACACAGCGTAAGTGGGTGCAGTGGCTATTGGGCATGTCAACATCGTTAATTCCTCTGTATCAAACTGATAAACATAAACCCAACTTCGATTTTGGTGGCTGATGTTACATGAGAGAGAGAACTTAGCCATTCAAAAAGCACCCAAATGGTTGTTACTCCATAATTTTTCTAAAATCTTCTTGTTACTCCATAATGGCACATTAAGAACTACAAATTAAAAATTGAACTGATATTTGAATTGAACATCCAAAGTCATCGCCTAGATGTTAACAAAGAAAATTTTGGAAGAAGAAATGATAAAGTTCACAAATTACAATTTAACGATCAACTTAATGATAAAAACTTAAATTCCACAATTTAGGAAAGGGCAAAACTATCAGTTATGCCAAATCCACTTGTGAAAAAATAATAGTTCAAATATGATTCTGTGTTTAAGTAAAAAAAAAAATATAATTAGCATAATCACGCTTGTATAAAAAACGTGATCTAATAAAAAATCCACAAATGAAACCAAATCAATAGTAGAAAATGCTAGAAAAGTTATGATGAAATTCAGTCAATGGTGACAAGTACTCCAAAACCAAATTTTAGTCATCATCACGTCATCTCACACCTTCAATTCAACTTAAAAAAATAACAATTTTCTATTTTGAATTCCACACAAACTGTCCAAAACCAAACCAGTATAAAAATTAAAAATTAAAAATTAAAAATTAAAAAGCAAATTGAAATTTAGTTGAGAGAGTGAGGAAGTGAATCAACAACCATTAACAACTCTATTGAAGCTCTATTCAAAATCACTTAATAACAAAGGTTACATGCGAAAACAAAATTAAAAGTCCCAAATGAGCAATACTCAACAAAACAGCCCTATCCACAAAACTTTTTAGTTCAAACTTCTCAATTTCATTTAATTATTCAAGTAAAAATGATAAAATTTACAATGAAATCATGAAACTGTCCTATTTATACCCAAAAGACAATATATATTCATTTTACTATTATCCAATACTATTAATTTAACTGAATTGAATCAATCTGCCAAAGATATGAGCTATTGCACTTTGTTTTCCTATGCATTTTGTTAGTTTCTTTAGACCAAGAATCAAACCATCTAATTCAAGCAATCAATCAAAACCACACACATATGCAGATGACAAACTAATAATATAAAATTTAAGCTAAAAATGCACTGTTTTATGTCAATATCAATAACCAACCAATCAATAATACCAATAACAAATAGAGATTAGATTCCACTATGAAAAAAATAGAATCAGGCTAACAAATAGAAGGCTTCTCTGTTAAACTAACTAATAATGATGAAATTCTAAACAACCAATTAGAGGATTCTATGTAAATAAGAATACTTTTGTTAATGAGATTAATCAAAAAATTGAACTGGATGATATTACAAATCCAAATAATTAAGTTATGAAATTCAAAACCAATTAATTGGAAAAAAAAATTCAAATATTAATCATTAACACAACTTCTATAAGTAAATAAAAACTTGAAATTAAGTTATGAATTTGAATTTGAATAAAAACTTGAAATTAATCATTAATCATAAATTTGAAATCTTAGTAAATAAAAACCCTAACTCAACTTCTATAAGTATAAAACAAATTAAGTCATGAATTTACCTTTTATATCTATAACTCATGCTTCAACTTGAAATTGCTTCCATTGGTAAAGTTTCGAATTCCATAGAAATTGAATACATTTGTACCAATTAAAAAAATCAAAATTGTATTTAGATATAACTGAGATAGGGGGTGGGAGTGAGTAGGAATCATTCCATTATGAATCTTCAGCCTAAAACAAAATCCAAACACACGTGGGCTCAACTAGTGGTGTATGATGAGATTACAAATGTACATTAAATATTGGGGGAGGGGGAAATAAAGGTGAGAAATGGTCAAATGAAAACCTCTTTGTACAATCATGCAATAACAACATACTAAAAATCCCAAAATTCCTTACTAATATACTAATAAAAGCACGAAATAACAACCCATTCACATGAAAAATATATCTAAAAATCTAAGTTTGGGTGCTCACCACAAAAAAATTATTTAACCCATTAAATATAAATCTTGAGAGAGAGAGAGAGAGAGAGAGAGAGAGTCGCCACAAATCAACTATGTAGAGCATGTGTTGGTCTTCGAAAGCAAAGAATCATCGAAAATTATTGAAACCAACTTCCAAACTGCCTATAATAGCTATCGACATTGGTGGATAAAAGAAAATAATTAATTATCCAGAAAAATGAAAACTAATATAATGGCTCATAACTCTCTATAAGCAAAGGAAACCAGACCAAAGCCAATGAATTTTAAGTGAAAACAAAGCAATACCACAACAAATTATAAAACAGAAATCCCAATGGATTTTAATAGCCTTAAAAAATTAGGCTTTCATTTGGGTTTAAAGTTCTATGATGGTGGCGATGATCATCACTTATATTTGAACAAACTTGTATGTGCTCAAATAATTAGAATGTCATTATTACAACCAGAAATTGGAAGTTATACCTTACCTTTTGAAGAATTTACAAATAGGCATAGAAAAATATTTGAATTGTTTTCTAAGGGATGACCAACAAAAGGAAACATTAAAATGCTTTAGTAAGAATGCAAATCAGATACTTACCACAATGTTCAGATACGAAAGGTTGTTAAAAGTTTCACTTCTTCCTCAAGCTCTCTAATGTGAACCTATTAAGCAAATTTAAAGAAATGATTCAGATATATAGGACCACAAACACAATGCTTCATATACAAATTACCATAAATATAAATAAAGCAATTAAATTGGAATGATTTTCAACTTGGAAGCACTCTTACTGCAACTGAAACATTCTTATATATATACCAATACCAAAAACAATTGAAAAAAGTAACAAATAAATAAATAAATAAATATATCCAAAAGAATCACCATAAACAAAATATATTTTTTAGAAATGAAGAAGCACCAAATCCAAAATCAGGAAGAGCACTTCTCAAAATAATAATAATAATAATAATAAAAGAAAGTATAAGAACATTATCCCAAAACAAAACCATTGCTCACATCCGCTGTGCACCACAACTCACCATCATTCTGCAAATCACCACTAAATAATGTTCTAGATAAAGCTTAAGTAAATACAAAAGTATTCAATAAATACCAAAAATA